TGGCCTGAGCGGCATGCCTATCAGACCTCCCTTGGTGAAAGATGGTATGCCCCATTGCCACGACTACAGCTAGAAAAACCAACATGCATTGTGGTGACAGTCGTTATGATACCAGTAAGCTACCGAGTTCTCTTACTGCAAAAGAAGTTTTGCCAGCATGATTTGCACAGTAATCTGTGATGCTAACCTACCTTAGAGCCTATGGTAAGTAATGAAACTGTCTCTTATACACATCTAGATGTGTATAAGAGGCATGCCTATCAGACCTCCCTTGGTGAGAAGTGGTATGCCCCATTGCCACGACTACAGCTAGAAAAACCAACATGCATAGACTGCTATAGCTATTGATACTATGTAGTGACAGTCGTTATGATCCCAGTAGGCTACCGAGTTCTCTTGCTGAAAAGGAGTTTTACCAGCATGATTTGCACAGGAATCTGTGATGCTAACCTACCTTATAGCCTAGGGTAAGTAATGAAATGGCCCGGTATCATGAGGGCAGGTAGAGGAGGTAGCATGCATTTGTGACGCCAACAGGCTGTCAGACTCATGTATACATCATCATCATCGTTTCATAGTGTGAATGGGTCTGGCGCTTCACACAGGAAGACAGCGCCAGCCCAGAACATGCACAGACGAGGAGGAAGGTCTTATACACATCTAGATGTGTATAAGAGACAGGATTGAAGGTCCCTCTCTCACAGTCCTGGCCACTCAGCCTAACATAGTAGTGTGGATAAGTCCTGTCTCTTATACACATCTAGATGTTTGCACTTGTCCTTTCCCGCCACTGTACTCCTGCATCGTCCCACCTCCTCTCCCCATCACCACCCATGTCCTCCTCAGTCGCTCCACCTCCTCCCCCCATCGCCACGCACCTATATTCCCGCCATCACAATCTATTGCACGTGTCTAGATGTGCACATTGTAAATTGTCACCACAACAGCCCTTTTCCATCCGGATGAGGGCATCCAAAATTGAAGCAGCTTAACCTCTATAGCAGATAATGAAGCACACTAAAGACTAGCAAATCCAACATTGAAACAGTCGTACCTCCATAGCAAACAACATGCAGCACAATAAATCCATTATATTGCCTTTTCCTTTTACAGTCCTTTCTTCGCTGTCTTCACTTTGGCTTTCTTTGGGTACCCCTTGTATTTCTTCTGCCTCTAATGTACAAGGCTTGCCACGGTGATTGTGGTTGAGTGCAAGCTGCCCAGATCCCCGTGCGCCATAACGGCCCACTTGCACGCTATGAAAGGAGGCACAGTAAAGGGGGAGG